TGGGTGTGATTTTGATAAGTGGCTACTAGTAGTGCGTTGGTACTGTAATAGGTAATATCGCGTCTATAGTTGTGATTATAATATGGTTGAAGAGATACTTATTTGTTTAGAATACTCGTTTTCAAGAACTTAGAACCAATCGGCTAAGTCATCGAAGACTAATCATCAATTTACAACGAATCTTAATAGATATTTATCAAACTACCTGAAAGAATACCTGGTTGTACCCTGAGTATATCCATCCGGGACTCACCTACTCATCATCTGCTATGGATGATGATTCAATTGCATGTGCAGGATTTGCAAACAATCCTATTGTCTGCAATAGCAACAAAGAGGGGAACAATCAGAAGAGAAATGACAGAACATGAGAAACAAAAACTGCTCCAAATGTCGATGTTTATTCTTTGTCCATCTTCCAAACAATCTAATAACTACTGCATTGTCTCAAAGTGTACAAAGGACTGTATGTACCTAGAGCAACTAGCTTTTTGCATCAGGCCACTTCACTAATCCTTTCATCTACAGCACTTTGATCTCACCAATTCAATTTTATCTCACACACATTTACAAATATTACAATTGTTACACAGTTTTTTCTAAGAAAATTATCAATTTATATAATTTACAGAGCTCGAGAACAAAGACAATAAAGAAATTGCAGGAGTAGATCAGAACCAGCCTGATCATCAACATCATCATCAAAACTCACCACCAGCGCAAACAACATCTCAATTCAAGATCCTCCCCAACGCCATCGGACCAGTCGGAACAATAGGAGAAGAAGGAAGAGAATTCCTCCCATTTGCGAGTCGAACGACAGAAGTAGGAGAGGAATTCTCATTCTCGGGAACATCGACTGTGAGGGCTTGGAACGCGCGAGCAAAAAGTGGGGTTTGATCCCGAGAATCGGAAGCGGGGCTTTTGTCTGCAGTGGGAGAGGAATCTTCATCATCGACGAGATTGATGGGTTGCTCGCGGGATCCAGGGGCGGAGAGTCGGGACGAGGGCTCGGGAGCTGCAGATCGCTGTCTTTGCCGGGGAGCTCGTACTGCAGCGCGATGAGAAATCGCAGCGGTGCGCAGAGGGAAAGGAACTGATGGTCTGGGAGCAGCAGATCGTTGTCTATACTGGAGAGATTGTGAAGCAGCAGCACGAGTAATTGCAGTAGCATTCAGATGAGCTCTTCCCTGCAACTCTCTTCCGAGGACTTGACGGATACGCGGAAGCGGAAGGTGGTTGTTGGCGAATCTTCGCGGAGCTTGAAGATGAGCGCGAGTGAGGGCGAAGGCGGCGTCGCGTTGTAGAGCTTGAGACTCCGGATTTGGGGAGTGGTGCGGAGTTTCTGTGGGGATTCTGGCTAGGATCAGTCCGTTGGGTAGGAGGATGCGCTGGTCTGGGGGGAGGAAAGTGTGGTGTGGGAAACGGGTGGTGCTGCCGGGAATACAGATGGTGCCTGCTGGGAGACGGATGGTGCCTGGAGGAATTGGTGGTCTTGGGGCTCGGTAGATGGGTGCTTGCATTGGAGCTAGGACGGGCACTTGCTGTGGTCGTGGTAAAGCTTGTACGGGCACTTGCTGTAGTTTTGGTGGAGCTTGGGATAGCACTTGCTGTTGCCCCTGTGGAGCTTGGACGGGCGCCCGCACTTGCATCCGTGCCTGCAATTCCAAATCTAGCCTTTGCAATGGCGCAGCCATTCTATCTACTCTTGCACAACATTCGCGATATCTTGTCCAAAAGTGTCTAACTGTTATCGATCTTCGGGGCCAGCGTTCCGAAGAATGAAGATCGCCGCCAGGTAGATGGCGTGCTTGTTCGGTCATAAATATGTTATGAAGCTCGGTGCTGGATAAGTGTCGCGTATACGGTGATTTGTAGAGTAATTCGAGAAACTCGAGCTCAGGGTGGGTCCAAACATAATGATACATGGTGGGCTTTGGAGTGTTGAAGGCTGGATATAAATATTCGGGGTTTCTAACTAGGTTGATTGGTCGTAGTAAGAAGTGTGTTGATTGAGTAGATAGTTTGGAATGCTGAGATAAATTCATGTTGATATTTTCCCTCCACTTTATGTGTGAGCACGTGGATTGTTCAGTAACTTTTCTCGGACAATGTCTTTTTGATTCAATTCGAGTTTCTTTCAGAAGTTATTAGGCAAAGCATTTTCACACAAAGAGTATTTTGATATTAACAATAAGCTCTTGTGCTCTTGTTACTAGTGTGGAGATTGTTCAATTATTGACACGAAAATGTTCACTGATTAGCTGAGTATCAAGGATATATATTTGCGCTCTCCTAAAATAAACGAATAAGACTGTACACTGAGTCAAATGAATAGCATCTAAACAATATTTATATCATCATATAAGTATGGTAACGGCCTAACTCGTGTTTCGATGTTTCTCTTCCATCTGTTAACCATAACTACATACTCTACTCTTTAAATATTTCTAACCGAACTATTCCAAAGACATAGGTAAGTAGACATACCAAGCCCCAACCCTAATCCCCACCCACAAAACTAACCATGCGTACACTTCTCATCCCCTTCCCCCCCACCGAAAAATCCTTCCTCCTCTCCCTCTGCACCCTCCACAACATCCGTCTCAACCACCGCACCAGCCGTAACACCTGGCCGCAAATAATCTTCGCCCTCGAAGTCGAAGCTCCCCTCCACTACCCCGGTGGACAACACTTCGATACCGACCCTTGGCCCCCCAGAATCTACATCACATTATATCTTAGAAGATACGTCGAGCGCTGGATGCGCGAGGCGAAAAGAGATGAGATAGCGAGGTTGAGGGCGGAGGGAGGGAGAACGCTGACGGAGATTATTGACGAACATAATGAATCGGGAGAGTGTGTGAGGACGAATTTTGGGGGGTGGGTTATGGAGCCTGGATGTGTGTAGCGTAGTTTGAGGATGGTGGGGGTAGTTTCGCTTAGATGAGTGCTTGCTTCGGCAAGGGCTTGGCGGATAGATAGATTGAAATAGAAGGAATTACCATTTTTAGATAGAAACTGACATATGAACATGATGAGATAGAAGTGATGAAAAGGTATGAGTGATTATTGAGGTGAGGTAATCCAATTTCTTTTGAACATTTGGCCTAAGATTAGATGATAGTCTGGCTAATTGAACACGGTCACGTGAAAATTTGTCGCCAGATTAGACGACAGCCTAGAGATGTTATTTTCCAAGCAATCTCGTTTGATCGTAGTGTGCTATTTTGTATGCTATCATTTGAGATTAGATATTAATCTATCAGTACTGTAAGAATGATGGTATAGTAGATGCGGCAGTTTCCTAATTGATTCGGTTCATCCATAGCTAATGTCACGCCGACTGTGCGACGCGCCTATGAGTGTTTTAATGTAGGAGGTGCTAGATTTCTCTGATGATATACTGCAGATGGCGGCTTTTTTGTGTATATAAGAGTGATCTGTTTTGTAGCTAGCTACCAGTCTCGATGACCAATTGGTTATACTCATCTTTGTGCTCATGACTATAGAGATCTCGCTCTTAGTTTCAAAGAACCACTGGTTATTTCTCCAGAAGTGAATTCAAGTAATCTCCAAGATAACAAGAGTCAGATACAATTAGATGGGACGATCGCGCCGTCTACTCATCTAATTCGAGATGTGAATTTATTGATAATTCTACCCATGCACTGCCCCATCTGCGCTAATTAGACAAGCTCATATCTTCGCAGTACGGCTGGTCTGCCGTTATCTCCCATTAAACATATGACCATCAAGGTCATTCACTAACTTTTTCAATTAAAGTAGAATCACTCATAACTTCTTCATATCCCACTTGGGCTAATTGGATAAGTTCATGCACGCACAATTCGGTTAAATCAAAGAAATTTTTAAGCGAAACGGGAAGTTCAAAGGTCATCTACCCAGATATTAAACACAGTGAATCCATTTACAGACGTTGGGAACGCATGAAAAGTAACATTTACCGAAGATAAGGTAAACATCAAAGATTGCGCATGCGGGGTAAATCGAAACTGAACTCCAACGGCTGGCTATTTGAGAGATCAACTTTTTCTCTCCCACAATTTTATTTCTTTACCCATACAACAATGTCCACCACCTCCACCTCCACCCTTTGGCTCTTCTCATACCTATTCAAATATTTTTTCTTCCATCCGCAGTCTTTCTCTTTCATTAATTAACCAAATCACCATGGTTCGACAAAGTCAGAGAAAGAAGGCGCGCCTTCCAGAACGTTTTCGCAATGGAGAGGATCAAGAAGATTCTTCTTCATCCCAATCTGCTGCGCCAGCTCCCACCACACCTGCTTCAATTGCTTCTGCATCCTCAACTGCTCCACGACCAACTCCTTCATATTCTTCTTCCTCCTCACCAAATTTTACACTTGACTCTCCTACTCCGGTCGTTAGAAGAGCTGGTAAAGTCTGTAGAGAAGAACAAAAAGCTATGTTGCCGACAAGAGCTGAGGTAGAAGGTTCGCCGGAATCAGATGTCGAAGAATCTCCAGATTCTAGTGCGTCAGCTCAGCCAATTGAGCCTGCCCAGCCGCCAGTTCGCACGCCTGCTGATGACTATGACATCAATTCGCCTTATTTTGGCTTGAACCACACACCAGAGTGGGATGGTTTGGGAATCAATATCGATGATCGAAGCCAGGAGAGATGGTTTCCTCCCGTGAGTTTGATCAATTCATCTTTCTTTTCATAGCTAATCATAATGTTTTCCTAGGGATTGATGGCTCCTCCTTCTTACGACTCCCTTTCCAGCGCTGCGAAGCTGATGCTCTTCCACGAGCTCACCAAGATGATGTCATTCAAGAATCTCGTCTCGTTCCTCGGAATCACCGATCTTCAACTCAACGATTTCGCCAAAATTTACGAAGCCGAGACCCAGCGGGATGAACTGGAACGTGAGCTCACACATCTTGCGATGAACCGATTGGACAGTATTCGAAGAAACGAGAACCGCTGTGTCACAGTTGAGGATTTCGACTTGGCTTTATTGGAGGAGGTCGATTGGAAGCTAACAAATACAGTTCTTGAATCCCCAATCTCGCTTTCGGACATTGGAAAGGCTATCGGCTTTCTTCAGAGCTGTCATGGCTCCCAAATTGCTGGAAATCAGTTGAACAATGGCCGAGGCAGAAACAATAACACGCTCTCATTGTCTGAAGTTAATGAAGTGATTACGGAGATGGGACGATATGCTCGGCTTGGTATTAGCTTTCACTGGGACTTTGAACATGAGTTGGGCTTGAGAGAATATATCGCGAGCGAGACTATTCTTGCTAGGGGTGTTGGAGGAGTCGTGCTTTCTGGTGACGAGGCCGAGCAACCAGCTCAACCTCCCACTGGTCGACCAAAGAAGCGGGGCAAGCATTTCGCTAACAAGCCCCTTCGCAACAAATCAGATCTCTTGAAAATGGTCTTACCTTCCAAGTTGCAGCAAACGGAGAGCATTGGAGACGAGGCTGGAAAGAAGGCTGAGGGTGGTGGTTTGAGCAAGGGAAAGGGTCGGGGAAATTGATAGTCTCATCATCATTTGTAGCGAAACGTTAGGACTTCTTCATAAAAGCATCGATGAATTTTTCAAATTGACTCGTCTGAACTGTTTATCAGAGCAGAGTTCCCAGCCCTTTAAAAAAAAATGTTAATTCTTCTTATCATTATACTACTCGTCTATAAAATGTGACTATCATTCACATTATGTTTCGAAGTCATTATATGTTGAGAGTCGCAGGTAGGTGATGGAGGGGGAAGTACAACATATATATTAGACTGCGGCCAACAGAGTAGTATGTTGGAAAGAGATTCATATTCAAGATGAAGGCTCGCTCTATATCCTCTAGCTAAGCAGCCTTAATATCCATTTTGGCTGGCTGAAGCTACCTATCTTCTTTGCAACTCAGTTATATTCCTTCCATTACGTCTTCTCTGTGTCGCAAATTTACTCGGCGTCAAATCCACATTCTCAGCTTCTCGTTGTGTGGCCATTTAAGCAAGTTTGGATTTTGATAATTTGATTTCGCTATAATTTAAATGTATATAGAGGAAGAGGCGGCTTTGAGAGGAGAAATAAAGCTGTAGTATTCAAAGTCGTACAATACTATTAATGAAAAAGGCCTTGCTCTCGTATTAAACGTATTCAAATCCTGAATGACTAAGGGCGCGTTCGAATTGATTTTTTATATATTTAAGGAAATCTCTAATAATGATAAAATGACAAGGATATTTGTAATATTGAAAGTAATATATATTAAATATGTTTGAATAAAGCTAATATATTTGAAATAATATTAAGATATATAAGATTGAATAGAAAATGTCACGAGGATATAGTTACTAAGTCAGTAGAAGTCTAGACTAATAAAGATAATTATCAAAGGATTTATAGTTAAGATAATTAACGAAATTCATTTTGAGTAATTAATAAGCTTGATATATATTAAAAGGAATTTTATTATTCATAATATTGAATATAAGTATTATGAAATTAAGATATAAAAAAGAGTTTTGATATTATAGAAGGAAATTTATATTATATATAATTTAATATATACTTGAGGTTAACTAAAGTATATAATTAATTTTGAATGTACTAAAGCATATCTATTTATTTATTCCTTATTAAATAATTCAGTGAATAAACGAGTTTATTCGATATATTCTCTATTATAGAATCTTAATAGAAAATAAAGATAATCTTACTGTTTCTTAAACATATTAATTAATAGTGTTTAAAAAATTTATTATTAATATTCATATGAGGAAGGTTAAGAAAATTGAATATATTTATTATTTCAAGATTATTAAGCTTAAAATTTTATTGATTTCAATGTTATATTCACTTTGAAAATATTTGAAGAATTTTAGTTATATATTAGATAATATATTGGGTCTAATATTAAAAAAATCGATCTGGACAGGCCCTAATTAACCTTAATAAGTATTAATCATGTAATATTTCATATCGTCGCAAATCCGTGATCAAGTCGCAAAAGGATTGTATGATTACAATGACCAAAAACAGATCATTAATAGTTTCGCTTGAAAAGACACATAGGTAACAATATTATAAACTTATGATGTAAGTATACATGAGGCAAAAAAATTCACTTGAGGGAGTAGCGCGCTCTGTAGAGTCACTAGTTACTCGATCTTTGCGCCGCTGGTGTTTTTGAAATATTGACCAGCGACCACCCTAGCCCGAAGGCTTATACCTGGCTCAAGGCCTGACTTAACCATTACAGTCGGTCAGGAAAGTGAAATCACTTTCTACCTGGGGCGAATCTGCTTAAAGCTTGGAACGACTCGTGATTCCCTAAGTCAGGTGTCTATTATTCTACGTCCAATCCAAGCTTCAAGGGAGTGAAAGGCGGGAGACCCACGCACCTTTCTCTCCTCCACTTTACGGTCATGCACTGATACAGATACACTCTGCCCAACTGGGTCAACGTAATATGAATAATGATCGATGAAGACTGCCTCTTCAACCGGGTAACGCATCCTCTAGTAACTTGGTGTGTTTCAGGCTCCCCAGGGGGTGATTTCGATTCCCAAGATGTTCAAGTGTTACCCACCACACCAGCCGTTGCTAAAACATTTGTTGAAAATGCGAAGCGTGTACTCTACCATTGAGCCAGCAGCCTGTGGGTGTTCGATACCATACGCGAGTTTATTCAAAATTATATCTATCAAACATGTTTGTCGAAAAGTGAATTGATAATGGTGAGCCACGGCAGATCTGCTACAGCCTAGCACATGACCAAGTTGAGTATGGATATTGCAGTTCGTCACGTTTTGATCAATATTATCTCGAGAGCGTCTTTGGAAGGATCATGTTTGGATACCACAGTTGATGCTACCGTCAAATCCTCAGATTATGTTTCTGCCCACCGCAATGTGTCAAAGTGAAGGCTCGTGTTACACATAATCATAGCCTGTCTCTTTTCTTTTCTTTTCATCTTTTTTTCATGTCCTGCAGTATTCTAATCAGATTCCCATTAACTTGACCAAATTATGGATTCTTATAAACAAAATTCTGCAAAGTCATCGTTTGGACCCCTTGCATTGAGTGAGAGCTAATTTGGCCCAAGAACACCAGACGCTGTATTACAGATTCATTATAGCTTGAATCTACTCACCTCTTATTCACCTCAGAGTGGAGTGTTCACAGTAACAAACCTGGCTTGACTTAACACTCATGTTATTTTGGCGAACAGGCCCACATACATACTCATACTCTCGCGCGAAAGTCTTGATAAAAGAGTGCTCAAAATTTTGAAGTTCTGGATGCTTGAGGAATAGCAAAATTTGATTTCTGAGTCTGTCGAAGATATGGCAGACATCATTCCATGCCTTATCATAAATGTTACGAAGTGAAAGTTCGTCAGACTTCGAGACTTCATAATCTGGTACAGCCTTCCAAGCCAGGATTGAATATCAGCAAGTTGGATGTCACTCTTCAAGACTTGATAGGCTTACTCTGGTATCCATCATAGCACATCGTTAACGGTGTAAAATTTTGGTATCTATTGAATACCTAGGTACAGAATGAGATTTTGCTTCCTTGACCATGAATGTGACGCCTCTTTATCTCTGGTCTACTATGTATCGCCAATTGTAGGCCTTAGAAGTATTGGAAGCGTTATCTATTCAAATTATTTTCACAAACTATGGCATTTGGTAGATATCGACGTCGTCGGAAACTGAGCTTTTTCAGTGAATCTGGCCGATCGCTAAGCTCGAGACCCGTACCATGAGAGACTTATTAGATGATGAGAAACACAGAGGGCATTATCAAGGTGTCGCATTTTGTCAGTGATGGCGAGTAAAGTCCGGGGGTTGTTCAGAATGGTGATCTTATATTTCATTTCATTCAGTTAAATCTTCCTGGCCCAAAAAATGACAGGCAGATAAGGTACATTGCACGCTTTAATTATTGTGGAACTACATAGCAGACGCTCATGGACTCAAAATATGTAGACAGAGCTAATATGAGTACCTAGGTACTTGAAGCATTCTAATGCTACGGTACATAAAGTAATGAAATTTAGCCATCCTCCATGTTGGCTAGTTTGCAGGTACAATAAAAAGGAGTATGCTCTGCAGTCGACTCTCACAATATGCGGCAAAAGATCACAATACTCAGTAAAACTCTGTGTTTTATCAGTAATCGTCCTAGAAGGTTTCTATACCGACATCTTAAGTCTGTTGATCAATCCCCCAAAAGCACCTCCCCGCCCCAATCGTGACAGCCTCAACATATAAAACCCTTCGGTAGCACGAATTCCTCCAAAAATTCTATTCGAGAGTTGCGATTAAGTTGGACGTGATCGTTTGGCAGTTCCAGATAGTAGAGAAACAAAATATCTGCTCAATTTCGACTTCTTGACTTGATAGCTCGGGGTCTTGAATTACCTCACGCTAGTGGCGGATATCCATTTTAATTGTCCTGTCATAGATCTGGATTCGCCGAGCCAGTTTTCTTCTGTGATTTCGCAATCGCACTCTTCAGCCTTGTGTTCCTCGTGCTTCTCGATGTTCTGCAAGATATACGACTCATAGCGTTTTTTGTCTTCTATGAACTTATTCTTAAGGCTAGGGTTGATCATGACTCTGTAGTCAATGTGAATTCCCAAGGGTGTCCTATTAGAGTGCCACCGCTGTTTATTATATGTCAGTCAATGAACTTGTAGCATTTTGGGGGGATAATACATCAATGTAGCATTTCATTGCCCGCCTCAGCTGCTTGAGGGGAATATTGGAATCAAAAGGAAGTTTTCGAGGTCCCAGCATAGGCCGATGCGCCATCTTTGCGCGCTCGAACAATCTAATACATGCTTGTACATCGACATGTTCCTCGCCCCATACACTCGAGAATGACAAGTCGTATGAAGGTGTAAGATTATATTCGGCAATCTTGCGAAGGGAAGTTACTGAGCTGCGGATGTTGCGTGGCTCAACTACATTTCCAGATCCCATGAGTTCTGTGACCATATACCACTTCTCCAACTCAGTAAACAACTTCCAGATATGTTCATTTTGGGCGATATGGGATGGATTCGAATACCAAGCCAAGTTTCTGATGCGCTTCACGTCGTCATCCGGAATCCACCTCACGGTAGTATATAGAAGAGGATTTGTGCTATTGGCCAATTGATCCTCTGGCGACGCCCAAAGCTGACCAGTCATATTGTAATCGATAAGTAAGAAGTCTCGTTCAAAGTCGAACCATACATATGATGTATCCTCATCTGGTTTGTCCTGTCCAGGCTTGCTGCAACGAAATGCGCGGCGATAAATTTGCGAAGCGACAGAGAACGATTCATGATTGACGCGGAGAATAGCAGGGATCGAAGTGTATGATTTCATTGCTCGTGTGGCTGCATCTTGAATGATGTGAACGATGCGCGGCTCAGGAATTGTGCGTTCCCAGATGGAAAGACGGATCTCTTTGGGAAATCGACGAAACGGAGGGAAAGACGACGTATTTACGGCGGAGGACATCGTGGTGTAAGTGTTCATCTACCGCAGAGACAGTGACAAGGAATTTGATGGAAGAAAGGCATGTTGTTGAAGTGAGCGCGAAAGGTTGCTGTTGAAAACGGGAGGTTGAATAAGAGAAGAATGGCAACTGAAAGAAATGGAAACTAATAAGCTTTGCCTTTTTAAGCACTTCTGTGCAAAATTTTGTTTGTGCAAGGTACTCTAGGCTGTGGATTCACTATAGAAATGTTCACATGTTCGAACTATATAAAGGTGGAAGAGGGTGACTCTCATCTCATCAAGAGTCTATCAGAAATCTCCATTCATTGCAATAGCCTTGACCGCTTCTCATAAGCTCACTTGCAAAGATGACAACTGCAGCAGAGGGATATTCCTTTATCTCACAATACACTCGCATGTTTCTCTTACTCTCTATCCATTTGGTAGTAAGTGTAGGGTTTACTTCTAAGTTGTTAGTATAACATGCCCACGTGCAACAAGACGCCTGCTAGTCTACTGTTGTGATCATGCTTCTTTTCCTAGGGTTGATGAACCAACTGATTGTTGTGAGAAGTGTCCCAGAAATAGTAAAAGATGAGGAATACACAACACGTCAATTTTCCCTTTCCCTTACCAACATCTGTAGGTTCATGAGCTACAATACATTGTTCGTCTCTATTTCTCATTCTTGTTCTCATTATCACATGATCCAAACCCATCTCTAAATCTCACCAACAATCAACCCCAACATCGAAGAAGAACCAGTAATATCAATCGCAAGAAGTTTTCCTCCCTCGGTATAAACCCCCTCATTCTTTCCACTCTAACTAGCATACGCCCAACCCAATCCATCATCAGCTCTACCCAACTGAACACTCGTTGGACCAGACAAAACAGTCTCATTTGCACTTCTAGCCAATGTATCGTTAACTCCACCAATAACCACACTCATATCATCATCCTCAAGATCAATCTTCAACACACTGGCTCCAGTTCCATAAGCCAAATAAGCAGCTCTCTGCTCGGGATCCAGTGCGAAATCATCGGCTGCATAAGCATTAGTAAGGATCTCTACTGGTCCTGTGACGTTCAAAGTGCTAAGCGAGAACGGAATTCGTCCAAAGGTCATGAGACCTGTGTTTGTGTAATAGATATATACTTGATCTGTGTCGCCAGTGGTAGGAGTCAAAGCTTTAAGACCACTAACACCAAATGCCAAAGAAGTGGAAACGGGTGGTCTCAACTCTGCGAGGTCTAGAAGAACAGAGTATTCGGAAGTGAGAACGTTGATGGACCAGATAACTCCGAGGATGAGATCAGTTGCGATGATCAAATTTTGGGATTCGGAAAGGGTGGTGAGTCCATTCAGAGATCCGGCGCCGGATATAATTGCTACTTTTGAGACAGAGGCACCGCTGTTGGTGGAGGGGACGTATGATGTGAGATTAACAGAGTAGATGGTGTTGGCACCTGTGAGGGTGCTGGCTACTGAAGAGAGGGTGAAGTTTCTTGTGATGAGGTAGAAATGGGAGAATGAACGAGTGTGCCAGTGTTGTTTGAATCTGGTGCAGATGAGGAAATAGTAGGGTCAGTGTAGTAAAGGTAGGGATTTGTGATATCAGCGGCGAGTATTTTATCACCAGAGGTTATCACAATATTTTCGAGCCAGGTAGGATCAGAAAACTGATGGATTACGCGGGAAGGGAGATCTGGGCGGGGAGCATGGCGGATGGTGGTCGAAAGGGCGGAGGAGAGGAGAGAGGTGGAAACTAAAAGATTTCGAGATGAGAAATACATGATGATTTTGTGATTCACTGAAAGGAAAATCAGAAATTGCAAATAAAATAGATCAATCGAGTTCAAAGCAACGCCAAGAACATAAAGAAGGAATTGACACGAGAAAAAGATCAGCTCGTTTGTACCTGTAGATCTTCATCCAGTCATTGCATCTTCACCCGAACCGTCCAGCAACGCCCGTGTGTAGAACACGCATGCATCTCACAAATATCGAGGATATTCATCCCCAGCTACCCAAATCAGAGTTCTTCGCCGTTGGCGAAAGCATGTCTTGATCGCGCCCAGCAGTGCCAAGGAACTACCGTCACAACGACACCCCCAATTACTCGATTGCGGGGTTGTCAAATCGGTATTTACCTTTTTAATCGTGGATAAGGATGTCAATATCCGTGGGAGATTCCAAAAAGACCTATAATTAGGCGAGAAAGGGGAGAAATGGAATAAGATCCTAGTACGTGGCTAGGTGACTCGTGGACTAAAGTGGAAACAAGCATATTTCTCGGGACCGAAAGTTTATTGCAGAATTTTGATCAAGTGGAAACTATAGTAACAAAGATCTCTGAACTCATTTGATAGTCAAGATTACATGATGATGATAAGCAGTTGTAATGTCGTAAACAGATAAGAAGCAAAATGGCATCATCGAGAATCTGACGTTGAGTCGGAGGTTATTCGGTACATTAAATATCCGATAAACTATGAGACCTCGAAACCCAAACTTAAAAAATCGCATTGCAAGCACACTTTTGACATATAATTCGAAGAATTCAAAGCAAATATCATTTTCTTATTGCTACTATGTTTATCTTATACGACTTGATAGTCTTCGTGTATTGACCGAGATACGTGCTGCTCCTTGACATGCACAATGCTTACGCCTAGTACGCATTTTGTGCCTTACGTTCATCGAAGATCTTCAAAGCTTCCTCAGCGGCTTTCACGCCAGAAAGTGCCATGGCACCAAATGTGGGACCCTGTAGTAAGAAGCTAGTCAGAATTTGTGATGCTGGGTTGAAAAAAGGTCAAACTCTTACCATGCGGTTTGCACCATCGACCTCTGACAATTCCATGCCTCCGACAATCAAACCTGGAACAATTTCCCTAGTTCTTTTGACGATAGCGTCTTCGGCGACCTGAACCATTGGTGTCAGTTTATTTCCATTAATGAGGGAGCCTCGATGCCTTACATTCATATCAAGTCCTCTCATACCACCGAGTTCCTTGATCTGATTCATTGAAACCAAACGCTTGACACAGAACGCGCCAAATGGACCATCATGCCCAGTGGTAGAGATGACAACAGGAGCATTGATTGTGTTTGGATCCATGCAACTCTGGTCATCATGATGCATTGTGACAAGTGTCCAATTTGTCACCACTCCTGCGACTCTGATCTTGCCGTCAGTAGTTTGACGTGTAATGAGATCCTCAACGGCGGTCGCATTGAACAATTTGATGTTAGGAAATGCAAGAACTTTGGATAGAAGAGTTGATGTGAATAAAGCCTGTTGACAGGTATCGTTAGTACCATGATACATGTTGAAACAAAGAACATATAGAAGGGCATGGATAACGAAAGTTCTGAAACATACAGCATGCTTGACCACAACAAAGTCTCCTTCATCTTCAAACGGAACACCCAGGTCAGTCAAGAAGGCATCAGCAGGCTTTCGCATAACCATAGCACTGAAGAGTTGTCCACCCAACCATGCTCCTCCACCCGGAGACACAGAAGCCTCAATGATGGCAATCTTGAGATCGGGACGAGCCTTGCCTAGCATGTAGGCAGTACTGAGACCACAGGAACCAGCACCAACGATGACGATATCAGACTCTGCATACGTATCGAGATCATTGAAGTAGCGGCGGGTCATTGCACGCGAGACTTGAGATTCACGAATAGGAGCAAATGTAAATCCTTGGTCCCATTTCTCAGCAAGCTCAGCCAGTGTCTTGCCTTGAATGACTGCCTGCGAAGATTCGATCTTAACGTCGAAGGCTGATTTCAATTGAGCTCCATCAATAGGAGCTGTTTCCTCGGCGAACAAAGCTGATGGTGGTGCCATTTTCGATATTTTTTTAGATATTACCTGCGAGAGATTAGTGACGTCCACGAGGACGGAATGGAAGAGCATGATCCTTTCGCTGGTATTATCCAGATCAAGTTCATATAACCGTATAATCTCAGAACGACCCCTCATCAACGGCACTCTCATATCATCTCACTGAGTAAGGTGGTAAATGAGAGCCAGGCTGACTATTTACAGGATCGAACACCGGTTCATGCGAGAGTAACTTATACAATTGATGTGATACCTTGATCCGCAGAGCGGATAATCTCCATGCTGAAGGACTACATGACTTCCAACTGCTGGAAGTGAGTTGTACTTGGTACGAGTTGTCGTTTGCTAGGATGAGTGGACGATGTCAGTGATTCCCTCCAACTGAGTGCAAGATGACTGACAAGAACGTTTGTTTAGTTTTGATACGTAAATGGCGAGATTTCTGGAAGATGATGAGGAGAGAGAAGATTGTGTTGGGAATCATACAAAGAATAAGTAGTACGAAAATCATGAGCTAAGTGAGGGGTAAACTTTTAGTGGCCCCGTGCCCAGGAACTAACTTCTTTAAGATGCATCACCGTCGCTATCGCTGTTATCTGATTGACTGATCGAAAATCTGGGATGTCAAAGAATTATCTCACTGGACTGTCAAATTTTGATCATCAATCTAATTGTCATAGTATGTAACAGGCACACTTTGATTGGAGTGGGCTCACAGCTTTCTGCAGTGGTTCGCGAAACTTAAAATCATGTCAAAATTCACCGAATCACAGAGGTGAGTAGAGACAATACCAACAACCACATCCCATGAGTTTTCACATGCACTCTTGAGGCAATTACTTACCTACCTTCCTAGTTAGAAAGAGCCCGATGAGCTTTCTACAACGATGACTCAGCGCAGTGTCGTTCGATTGAGAGAGGAAATGGCAGACTCTGTATACATCTACATCTAGCAGTAGCCAGCAATGCCTGATTCCATTGAATCGCGCTTTAGTGAGCCTGGCAATTCTTCCTCCCTGAGCGAGAATAAAGGATACCTGAACTCTCAATGTTCAGGCAAGACCAATCATCTATTGATCGCTCTCATTCCTATCATAATTAATCTTTCATGCTTTGTACTTCTCAATGACTCTCAAGAAAATGTGATGAATCAATTGATGAGAAACTCAGGAACAGATGATACTTACAGTTTTATTTTCTGTTTCTGCAGCAGGTTATAAGATCATTATCAAGGACCTTTCTTACACTAAACTCCGATGTGTGCTCTAGCTGTGAATGAGCGAGATGCCTGGCGACATTGATTTCAACAAACAACTTCGGTACAACAGGATACCTTTTCTTGATGCAGAGCTCAGTCACACATTCCCGATCTCTTCTGTCTATGCAGACCTGGTACTGGAAGGAGCCACCCTAATACTTCAGATACCCTCAAATAAAGGCATGTGCTCCGGTGTCGAAAGGTCTTCCGCAAACTTATCAAATAAACAACACATATCGATACAGTATATAGCATTTCTTAAATCAATATGGCTATAAATGAGGTGAGGAGCTCCATTAGTCACTGTTGGTATAGAGTTTAAAACAATTGGATATAGATTACACGTCTACCGAAACCAACAGTCGCCCCGACCAACACGCCGGGACCCCCCGGGGAATATGTTTTCTCATTTGGGCGTCACCACTATGTGATCGACTTATCCAAGGTACTTTGGTTGGGAGCATATATCGATTTGGAGCCAAGAGATAATGCAAGTTATACTCAGCCTGGCTATGAGAGCAAATACGAATCAGATCATTCTGTGCCCTATCTATTCATAGCTGCCCAGGGAATCATAAATGGATATCATTGCTGTTTCAATATGCTCCCTCCCGAGCTTTCACATTACTATAAACTCTGCCAAGCGCTTGAAGTTATATCAGCCGAGAATTTGTCTTCAAAACCTGCGTCTCTACAGGAACTCTAGAAGTCAATTGTATTGTATAGGAGATCAAAGACTTCCCAAGATGACAGGATGCTCCACAGGTCAAGAGCTGGCACTGCTGCCTTCAAATTTGTGTATTTGATGATAATGGGCGACTTCCACATCGACTCAAAGGCTCTGAAAGCAACGCAAAAACTGGCAATACAATTCGTGAAGACCGTTTTATCTAATCAAGATGATTTCATGTGGAAAATAAGAAAGGTGGTTCGAGCTGCATATCAAGTCCGTTTCAAGACCACTCCTGGTGTATTTAAGATGTTGAATGATTTTGGGGGGCAAACCGCTTCGAAAATGCAAGATTTTGAAACAAATGAGGCAGCGAAGGAATAATTAGAGAGGAAACCGGGGGGGGAGCACACAGCGTCGATACCACAGCACAAGAACTAGGACTGTGATAATAACTTTGTGTATTCAGGCTTATACAATTTCAGCAATTAGCAGGAATATTTGGGTTAGTAATATCAAATTCTATACACTTTAGACTTGTGTGTTTCAACCATTTGCATTTCTCCACGAAGTCTACAACATAAATGCATGTAATAACAAGTGGTCTACTCTCAAACATTCGGCAGGGCATCAATCTGTCAATTGATCAAAAATCCCATTTTGACGTCATAAAAGGCGCGAGACAGACAAATGTGGCGATGCTTATGTATGTGGTGGAGAAGGTATTATAACAACAAGTGACTCCGTTACGTTTATAAAGCTTGAATATTGCGTTACAATTCTCAAACTAAAAGTCGATCTACTAGATTAAGAAAACGACTGATATTCATTAATTCAAGATCTCAGTCCCTCAGGACAAAATTGACACTCTTCAACAAAACTTTCAATAGCTACTTTTCCTGGCGAGCTGCCTTCCGAGTCGACGTCACGATGGGATCAAGGACCTCCGTTATCCGAAATCCAAAGATTAACTGATAAATGGATGACCTGGGATTAGAGGAGTGAAGAAAACTCACTGAATCAGTACCCGCAATATACAACCAAAATCGATGTATCAGATTTCGGAGAACTGGACATCCATTTCCTCCACCAGGAAAGTCCTGTCAAAAATGCCATTCCATTATTATTTGTTCACGGATGTGAGATGAGTCTCCAACTCCTCATTCTAAAATCATACTTAGAAACAACCATCAGGGCCGGGTTCCTATCTTGAGGTCCTCAAGATTCTCCCCCACTTGCAGAACCCCATCTCCACACCCCAGTTTCCACATCATTGCCCCCTCTCTCCCAAATTTCGGGTTCAGCTCCGGTGTCAAAAAGAGAGGATTTCCGATGGCTCAATATGCGGAAACTCTCAATAAGTTCATGACAAAACTTGGGTATGATGAATGTGTCACTCAAGCGGGTGACTGGGGTTCTGGATCACGAGAGCGATAGGAAAATTGTATCCGGAACACTGCAAAGCAAGTCATCTTGACATGGTATATGCGCAGCCTCCACGCTATTCAGTAATCCGATTGAGACGATTGGAGATATCTTTATGCCCTATAGCGAGCTGAAAAAGAGAACTATTGAGAGGAGGAAATAGTTTCAGGCTGAGAGTAAAGGTGCAGCTTCCTATTTCTTAATAATATCATATACATTCGTGAATTCAGAGCTGATATAAACAGGCTACAGTGTACTCCAATCCACCAAGCCCCAAACCCTAGCATACGGACTAGTCAATTTACTAGTTGCGCTTCTAGGCTGGATATACGAGAAACTACACGATTGGTCTGATGAGTATCCATGGACAAATGACGAAATTCTAACCTGGGTGAGTATATACTACTTTAGCACCACAGGACCAGGAGCTCCTCAGAGAATCTACTATGAAACCACCCATGCACACGCCAGAGGATAAGGAATGTACGGTTGGAAAATTACAGCAATGGACAGCAGATGTGAAATTGGGTCTGGCATACAATCCAAAGGATTTGGAAAATGTTCCAAAGCTATGGGGAAGGACGCTTGGAAATGTGGTTTATGAAGTTGAGAATGATAGTGGAGGCTAAGGTTTTCAATTTCCCCCGAAAAAGGGCTGTGAATCTCACCGATTTGATAGACATTTCTACTCTCATGAGAAACCGGATCTCTTGGTGCGGGACTTGAGAGCTATGTTTGGAAAAGGAGGAGGAGCTTTTAGTATGGTAAATGGAAGGGATGGATATTGATGAACCTATTAATAGCAAGTCTTGGCAGTGATAATTAATGCGGAAATATTGGAATTCTAGATAAGCTCAATATCTGATCTATTCATAAGCTCCAGCACATCAAAAAGGAGTTTGCTGATCACGTGGATTTTTCGTCAAAAAAGGGGGGCTTAAAACATTTTGCTCTCTAACACAAATCCCTCACTACAAGCATGTCCTCACAAACTAGATTCTAATTTTCGGATGACACTTAGTCATTCTGTTTCTCTGAATTTTCATCACAAAAAGCAGAGCACTTTTTGGTTCTTTGATGATTCCCTTTCGTATCCTGTGTGTACAGGATTTTTTTCTTAAAAAAAAGACATATCAATACTAAACTCATAACCTATACAAAGAAGCCATATTTGCCTTTATAATTGAATCAACAGCCCTGAATGACGTTGGTATTCTATCACTTTCGTAATTCATAGATCCCGGGTCTTTCTCGAGAGATATCTCATACTAGACGTACGTAACATATACTAGCCGATTAAAGCCTACCACGGAGCTTCTTCGAAGATCTGTGCGAGCCCCTTATATTGATTCAATGGCGATCCATCTTCATGATCTGGAATCCACGCATCGAAAGAGAAACAGTAAAGCCTGGGCTCGGGCGCCTGCTTCCCCAAAGTTTCCCAATCAGAATTGGTATCAAGCTCGCAAAGGAACGCAATTGTAAGCTTCACACCCTTCCAGCGTTTGAAGTTTCCCTCATAATCTATTTCTTGCAAATACCTTAGATCACCGAAAAAGTCACTTTCCTTAATCTCAGCATCGACAAGCACATCTTGAATGCGATGCATACGAGATCTCTCAATCAAGCGGCCAGAATTGTCCCAATAGTTGTCATACCACATTTCTATGTCAAGGTCGATCAAATGATACCCCCTCCTTTGTCCCGACCGGTAGCGAATTGCAAAACCGTCACCTGGAACATCTGATACTATCCAAAGAACTTTAACATCAGGACACCTTGCGAAAAGACCGTTCAGAAATTCTCTCAGATTTCTCAATGTACTCTGCATAAGCCAATTGAAGTCAGTCAGAAATGAGGTGATTGCAAGGCGCTCAACGTTGGAGAAATCTATGCTTGTTCTGTAATAACTCAGCAACACAAGATCTGCGATATTGATCATCAGGGTGTCTCTCACAGAATCGATGTAAGTTTGAACGAGATGTCTATCATTCGCCCAGAAATGACGAATTGGTACTCCCTCAAAAAACCTTCGCATAGTACCGTGCGGATCTGGTGTCGATAATTTGATGTGTTTCAACTGGCTATGGACCATTTCTCGTGAGAGTTTGCAGGCATTCAAAAGCGGCAGTAAATGGCTCACAGGTGATATCTCATCGTTGATTGAAACCAAAAACTTGCTAGGGTGCGGACAAACTGCAAAGTAGAAATCTACCACTTGTGAATTGCGATCAGGAATAGCTTCCTTGAAGACCAGCATCCGTAGCTCGGGAGACAAAAGCTTGAATTTAGGGAAAGTGGGAATAACATTTTCGGGTGGTGGGAACGATTGTTGTGCAGAGCTGTGATCTGGGAAGGTTTCGTGGGATTGAGTATCAATGGGTGACTCGGAGAGGAAAAGCGGAGAAAGATTTGTTAGAAACTTATTGCTACACACATGCAATTGAAGATTCAATGGAATTGGTACTTTGCGGGTTTGTCCATTCCATAGTGAGGAAAATTGGGAAAATTGGGTGCCAGACCTGAATTTCTAGAATATGGATACCGATGAATGAGGCCGAGGCTGAGTGGAAGAGTATTGTCGTGGGCGATTCTCGTGGTTTCGAAGTTGCAAATGATATGTAGCTTAGGGGTCAAGATTTCGTCTTCGATGGAAAATGGTTTCCTAACTGTATATTGCCACGAAAACGAGGTTGGGATGACTGGCAGCTTGGAAAAATTGTCTTCCGCAGAAGTTCTACCATGCCACTTCAAGGGATCGAAAGATAGGAATAGGAAATAAATATTGTTTGTATGTATAATGATTTCTTGTTCCAAAACCTGAGCTTACGATGAGGATTTGCAGAATTGATCATGTTTGATATTGTAGCTCCTGTGACCTAAGAAACCGACAAGCTAAATTGATAGAGAGTTTCGGTGTTGCAAAGTGCTCATGTAGAAAGTGCTATCAAGTGCCGGATGCATAAGGCAAGAACTTTGCACATGTGATAATCAAGCTCTATCCATTCTGGACATAGTCCACTCTCAAATTTACCACAATATTTAATAAGTTCTCGAACATTTGAAGAAACTCGCAAATTGAGTTGCATGATTTTCATCATTGTGAAGAGAAAAATAACCAGCGAAAAGCGTATTTATGGTATTCTATCTCGATGCATCTAAGTTTAGGTTCGTTGAAAAGAGGATTGATTTTATACTTGATGAGCGAAGGGATGAGCGTCTTAGACCCATGATGTTTTAAATGGACATCTTGATTCTTTGATTATTAGACTGCAAGCTTCTCAACTACCGGCTTTGAAATAGGTGCTCATTGCGCCGGCCAGTTATTGTCAACTCATGTCTAGTAGAACTACAGGTTTTGTATATATTAGACTCAAGTTGCCGCGCTTAAGACGTTATCTTCCTGTTCTACTCTTCAAGTGAACATGGCATCAGAGGTAACTTCTACAATGCTCCTTAGTTAGAAATTCTGGTAAAGTGGGCTGGAATGATCAAACTATCAAATGATACACAAATTACTTTCCAACATTGAAACATGGTGATGGTGTTTAGTGACCAAAATAATGAATCATCAAGTCATGAAGCCTACCCAGAGTCTAATCTTCACATTAATCCTTTAATTTGCATACTATAACGCAGCTCAGGGCATGGCAGACGATCACGGGATCGTTACTTAGACGCGGCACTCAAATAAACATCACAGAACTGAGTCCCCACACTCGAGACAACATACGCAAGGAAGTAATTCTCATAAAAAAGCGCGACACCAGCTAAATTAGAGAACATCTCCTCCGTACCTACTATCCACCCACCACAAATCAAAACATCCCATGTTAAATCAAACAATCCAGCATTCTTCACCAACTAATGTCCTGCCTTCTATGCTCCAAAACCTTGTCACTTCTACTGTAAATCTTTCCACAGCCGGGTCTGGGACACTGATGAGCGTGACGTCCTACTCCGTGAACAGATGCCATGTGGCGTGGAAGATCAGATCGACGAGAGAAAGTACGTGGACAGAGCGTATAGGTAGTACGTTGGGGGCCTTGTTGTCCCGATGGAAGAACGGGCTGTTGAATTGGTACTTGGGCAGGTACATAGGAATTATTGTCTAGATTAATGAAGGGTGGTGGGTATATGGCCGGGCTAAGCATAACGGCCGGTTGATTGGGGGCGATGGCATCGGTATAATCAACGCTTGGGAATCCGTTGAAGAAATCCAGTTCAACATCATTCATGTTCATGCCTGTGAAGTATCCATTCTCAGCAGATTCTTCGACTGGAAAATTAGCGATGAAGGATCCTGGAACCGAAAAGTTGGGACGGTCGGTATTAGGGTACAATGTAGCCGCACTGTTCCAAAACCCGAATTGGGTATCCGGTCCCGTGACTTCTAAGACGGGATAGATTTCATGTTCGAAATGTCCACTGAAGATCGGTGCGGGTTGAATGCCATCAAATCGATCTCGACGCGTACATGCGCAACATCCGTTGGCCGCCGACTATAAAATTTAATTGAAAAAAAAACTCACCCAATCAGCCCGTTCTCAAAACCCATGCCAGGGTAAGGAAACAGTAACAGGCTAATATTTAGGGAAGTTCCTTGTTAGTCGATTGGCTCTGAAGCCATCTCTGATTGTCTCGTGGCGTGCAGCTTGCATGACGGCGATACACTAAAGGCGTTGATTAACCGAGTGTTACTGTAAGCAAATAGCAAGGCTATCGAGGCTGTCCAATGAAGCTCGAAACTGGGTAGGGGATAAGTCCGAACTATATAATTCTTCATTGCGCTGCGAAAAATGTTGTGTTGGCACTGCGTACTCGCCCTTGGCTTCGCCTTCCATGGTAGTATTATCAGGCTGAGGGCGCTGACCCTCATGTCACTGCAAAGCAGTCACTACGAAAGATTCATGCATTTTAAGTGGTTCTGATGCTTGGGTGAAAATGTATTTACATTTTTTTCAGGTTTCTGCATAAGGGTTACCGTCCAATCTGAGTGTTTATAGAAAACGGAAAATTATGAGGAATGAGAAAACAGTAAGAGGTACAGTAAATCCATGTGCTTTTGCTACTTTTCAAATACTGAGTATATAAGTAATCGCTGTATGAATGTAAAAGCAGTTACCAAGAGAGCAGAGGGAAGAAAAGCGTATGAAATATTGGCGATAAAATTGATGGACAACTCTCTTTTGGTAGCAAGGCTAGGGTGAGAACTTGACGTAATCACGTGTGGTAGGTGAATGAGATTTAGTAAAGAGTGTTTAGTACGAAAGGACCTACCTCTCAGAACTTTTGGCGTTGGAGCACTTCTGTTATTTGAGGGGGGGAATTACAAGATGTGCGGGGTGTCTAGACAATATTGAAAGGTGGAGAGGAATGCCGAGTACATTTAAAAGCTTTGACAGGGAAATGTTATATAAAGAGAACGGTGGAAGATTCATATAAGTTATGAAGGCAATATTGTAACAAACGGTCGTTACAAAACTATAGATTTAGTGGACTTTCACCTAACCTTAAGTTTAGTTGTAAGGATGATTAAAGAAGACACATAGAATATTATTGAAAGGATGGCTCAGATGCTAACATTGTCATGAATTTGTGTCATAGAGCTGATCATATCTAGCTCAAAGCAATCCATTGTCAAAGCCCTGCAGTGGTCCATCTACGCAGAATCGCCGTTCTGTTCCTTACTGGACCAACAACTCAACATCTCTGCTTCCCTTCTTCTGCTCCCATAACTCCCAAAACTTAGTGGCAATATGCTTTGGGTTATTGACTGGCTCTTGTTCGCTGACTGGACCTCCAATCGTCACTAGAGCAACATGCACCTCACCCTTCGTCTGCTCAATCAACAGTTTAACCAAATTTGCCTGTGCAGCCTTTGCCATACTGAGCGAGAATACAGGTGCAAAAGGCTGATAAATAATAGGCGAACTGGTGACAAAAAGCGAAGGATGAGACTCCGGCTTCTCCTTTGCTAATGCTTGCAAACCTGGAAGCAACACTTTTGCAGTTGTGTACAATCCCAAGTTTGGAATTTTGAAGTCCTCAACAATGTCGGCTTCGCTGTACTCGCCGAAATTTCCGTAGCTGACGCGGGCCGCATTGTAGACTACTACTTCTGGGGACCCGACTTCTTTGACGGCAGTCTGCAGAGCGAATGTTAGACCGGGGGTATCGATCACATCAGCTGTGTAGGTGTGGATCTTAGCTGATGGAGTTGCGGCGGCAATAAAGTCGCGGGATGCAGAGAGGGTGGATTCAGAACGTGCAAAGAGTGCAATGTGTGCAAAAGTGTGGGTCGCGAAAAGGCGGGGGATGTGAGACCCGATCATGGGGCCAGTACCGACAATGAAAAGAGGTCCTGGGAAAGACATGATGGTGTTTCTTGTTGATTTGAAGAATATTTGTTTGTGTTTGGGATACAGAAATGGAGGAACTCGATTTTAAAGTGGTAGAAATAGGTATACTGTGCCGTACGCTTATGTGGAGGTTCTGCTTGTGAGAAGGTATATTACCATATACATATATTTTAATCGAACCTGCAGGCCCCACAACGGGACGGCCGTAGATGCACTAATTAGACCTTATTTATGTAAGGATTCATTCTATGGTCACTCACAGCCAAGAGCTGCAAGCACCCCATAGTTCTGGGATTGAGGTATGATCATAGCGTTGGACGTACGGGTATCTTGGTAGTATTCGTCAGGACCTAACTAGTTGCCACGATGTGATGGTGAGATTCATATATCCTTGTCCTTGACGAACAAAGCATATACCGCAGAGTAGCAACAGAGTCACGGCGTCACGGAGTTGAAGGGATTCTGGCTGCTTTTGACGCCAAGGTAAGGGAGGAATGGGGTATGAGCTGCATGAGCTGCATGAGCCTATGGTGTTGTGTTATCATTGTAGGATCTGTCGTCATCCATGGCATGATCTGGTGATTGAGATTTATCGCCGATATTGCAATTAATGTGATGAGAGACAAAGAGGTTCTTAGGTATCCTAGAATAGTCTCCCTCCTATCCAAAAACACAGAGTACCTAGTTGGAACAATTCTGACACTATTGTGGCAAGTGCTTGTCAAGGATTGTAGAATAGCGATGTTGGATCGTTCACATACCCGAAATAAGCATGTATTCTGGCATTATGAAGAGGAGTGCCCAGGGGTAAGATCATTCACGACTGAAATATAAGTCAGCGACGGTGATGAGCGCAGATAATTCCGCAATCTATACAAATCGAGGTGAAAAAGGTTGTATTGCAGTCGGTAGTGGAATCATTTTATGGTAAGTTAACCTTTATTACTGTATCGTCTTATGTAAGCATTTAAGCTTCTCCGCAATTGAACCGTTTCGGGGGATGACTGCATTAAGGTTAGTGCCAACTGGAAGTGTGGTTGGATAGAAAAAATGATATCCCGAGGCGTGCAAGCACAGTTTTCTCTCAACGGTATGATTTTGGCCATTGTGCACTGTGGGCATCACATAGTACTGTATGACAATGAAAAGACACTTGTTGCTTCTTGTCTACGTCTATCTAAATCATGGTATTTTTACATTGGCATATAGATTGCAAAACTCGGTATAAAGTTACATGCAATTGCATTTCCCTCACGAAGTAACCAGTATATCAAACTCGGGTTTACTAATTCACGCCTTTGGATGGACCAAAGGAAGAAGCCCAAGGATCATACGAGTCTGATGCCATCAGTTCTTGCATATGTCGTCGACGAATACCTACATTGCCACCGTCAAAAATTGGTAAGACAATGGCTGTGTTCAATAGAGCTGCGAAGGGCTGCTCGGTACTATATGCAGTTCTATAATGGATATTTAGTGACCTTCATACTTTGTGGAGAATGGTGGAATAGAGAACTCACATTCCAACAGCATTGATGGCCTCTGTAACTGCTTTGACGCTCTCTTCCGAGCAATAAATCTTCGCAGCTAATGCCAATTCACGTCTGGCATTATAATCACCTGGTCCATTCTCAAGAGTATGAGCTGCCTTCCATGTCAAAGCTCTGGAAGCTTCTGCCTTCATTTTGATGCCGCTTAGGAGATCTGCGAAAGCTTGTCTTGATAACAGATTTGCTGCCCCTCTACGATTATCGGCTTTGGCAAATGCTAGAGCTGCCTCGAAAGCAGCTCTCATAACACTAACACTCATCGCCCCGACCAAAACAGCAGAACAATCGAATGCTCCAGATACCACAGGAACACCTTGACCTGGTGGACATAGGACGTTCTTGGTAGGAACTCTTAAGTTGGTATATTTGATATGTGGGCCAGAGCAAGCAGGGTGTCCGGCAGTTGGTACATGTTTGAGTGTTTTGAATGCGCCCTTTTCATTACGTTCAATATCGGCTCTGCTTACGAGCAGTATCATGATTGCGTCGGCGGGGTCATCTGAAGTAACACTTGGATCACGGCAGACTACACATTGAAGGTCTGCACCTTCAAAGTCCCAGCCTGCACAATTGGTAGCCCACATCTATTTGCCAAATTAGTTTCAGTTCTAGATGCGGCATCATCTTTCTTAAAGTTTTTCTTGCCTTTTCTCCATTAAGTACCCATTCATCACCCTTAAGTGTGGCCGTTGTGTTGAGCCCCGGAGCACCCTTCTCCAGAAAGTTTGCAACTCCTCCTGGTTCGGAGAAAACCAAACTTGCTAATGGTGCCCCTTTGCTATTCAAAAATGGTTCCAGAAGTTCTTTATGCTCTTCTTTTCCAGCCAAATTCAATGGTGTCAACCCCAATCCAGTTGCAAATATTGTCAAAGATGCGGAGGGGTCAACAGCATACATCTCTTCAACTAAGATAGTTGCTTCAGTTAAGCTGCCACCTGTTCCTCCAATATGAGGTCCTATCAAGCCTTTGATCATGCCCCCAGTTGTTGCATCAGCATAAAACGGCTTTAATGATTGAAATTGTTGCTCGTCTTTCTCCGCGGAGTAAACCTTCTTGATTTCCTTTAGAGGGCCAGCAGCGAATGTAGCTGCATGTTTTCGGATGCCATCCTCAGATGCAGAGAGTTGAAAGTCAATAGGCATATTGTAAAGTTTTTTGAACGAATGGTTTTTGTGAAAAATGCTGTCGGAAAGTTTGCAGAAGAAAAGTATCTGAAACTCTTTGTTCGTTTGTCTGTTTGCAAGTTATTTGTAGAAAATCGGAATTGGGAGTTGTTGAAATACAAAAATAATTCGAACTTTATGAGGGGTAGTATTCCAAAATAAGACTACGGCTGATGTAAAGTGCGGAATTCTCAAATCGGCGTGATCGATTATATGCATATACCCGAGTTCGTTGGAAGGATGTTGGTGACAGGGTTTATCATATTATCGCTGACATTCTGACAGGCCATTTTTGACATGCCTCTTGGCCGATGGTTTTACAGGCATTGCCAATTTGTCAAGCACTGCATGCCACGATCCTATTGTAATACAAGTATCCTGCATTTGAATCTCAATATGTTTTTCATCACCTCAACGGGCAAGATCACAACTCTGTTGGGGATTCACATAGGTAGGATTACCGACATGTATAATTTGTTTTGAGAATGATAGTTGTTGACCCTTCTTCATCATATCTACTGTGCCATTGCCGTGCAGCCCCTGACGTTAAGTATTGGGTTCGCTCGCTTTTTTTCTCTGCGCAGAAGCTGCATATATCTCCTCGGAATAGCAACCAACTGTTTGTTTATTACTCGACTCCTTTATTTACATTTCTAACCCAGTCGACTCGCGATGTCAGCTACGGACCCCAATCTACCGCATGATTCCAAGGTAGATCAGATACTGGGAGTATGTTCTGCTATGTTGGTGATTACTACAGTAGTGGTAGCAGCAAGAATCTGGACCCGCTTGAAGCTTGCTAAAGGTGGACTTGGATCCGATGACTGGTGCATAATTGTTGCTTGGGTTTTGGCTATAGCTTTTGATCTTGATCCAATAAATCGTGAGTTCTTTCTGAAAAGATATACAATGATCTGCTGTTTGCTGTCGAAGTCATGCCATTGCCCTTGGGATAAAGCAAATGTCAAACTCATGGCTGTCACTGACCAGTTTCACAGAAGTAAAATTTGGGTTGGGTCAACACATATATGATTTGCCTGAAAATACAAATTTCAGTGCATCTCTAGAGGTGAATTCAGAAAACTCAGCTATGAATATCCCATCATGTTAACACAAATCCAAGCTTTATTGTTTTGGTGAAATCATCTATTTCATCTGTGTGGCCGTCACAAAAATAGCTATTCTCATTCTATATCTTCGTCTAGCCACTTCCAAAGTCCTTCGAAGCCTCATCTGGGGTGTAATGGCTTTTGTGGCCCTTACATCTTTATCCTGCGTTGTTGCGACTATTTTTCAATGTACGCCGATTTCTAAGGCTTGGGAGCAACCTGTTACGGATAAGGGAAGTTGTATCCAGATCAATGCTTTGTTCTATGCCAATGCCGGCTTGGATATCTTTCAGGACTTGGTTATATACATTTTGCCAATGAGAATGTTGTATTCGATTCAGATACCGAGGAGACAGAAATATGTACTTATGATTGTCTTTGCGGTGGGAGGATTCGTGGTTGTCACGGGCATGATTAGACTTTACTATTTGCAAGGTGCTCAAGCATCGCAGGATCCTTCTTGTGAGTACTTTTCCTATTGATATCAGCAATTCTTTCAGGAGGTTTGTTGTCTAACAGTCATCTAGATGACAATGTAGGTGGTGCCGTCTGGTCCTCCATCGAATGCAACATAGGTGTAGTGTGTGCCTCTCTCCCACATTTCAAACCTCTTTTCGATCGATTCTTTCCTTCATTAATGGGTCGATCCGCCGGCGCCTCAAATCACAATGGTCACTCGGGGCCAGAATTAAGGAAAAATCATGTGAAACAAAATAATGAATATGAGTTGGAAAATGGAGGCGTGAAGAAGAAAATGTGGAAAGATACCTATGAGGGGAAGTATAGGAAAGATTTGGTCAATAAGATCGAGGGAGGTGATACGATATACTGGGGGAATGATAGCGAAGAAAGTTTGAGGGGAGTGACGCCGCCAGAGACGGAGGGTAATAATGGAGGGGGAATCTACAAAAGCACGAGGATTGTGGTTAGTAGGTTGCCGGCTGAGAGGTGAGTTGAATTGAGGGACGGAAGGCGATGTTTGGTATGCAATGAAGGGTTTTTGGAATGGTATATCACGGGTTGGCATGGAAAGGCGTTGGATTTAATGATGGTATTACATATGGACTTGAACTTTAGGTTCAGAAATTCTACAAATAATAGATAGACTCTATGAGGACTTATGCTTCGCGGCTTTGAAATTTTGTAAATTATCTAGATATATATTTTGTACATTGTATTATTAGTTAAACATACTTGAAACCTCTTTTTTTCTTGCGAGTATTTTCTCAGCATACCCCTCCATCTCTATCACCTCACAATCATGCGACGTATTTCCCACATCCCATTTTCCATCCATCTCACTCCCAAATTCCATCTATCTTCCCCCTAACGTTACAGCCGCGGTTGAGAATAAGTAGATACTCACGTCAGACAAAACCAAAGCAAACCAAACCAAACAGAATAGTCCTAGTCAAGTCCCAGGATCGGGTATTAAAAATTCGCCTTCTAGAACTCCTCGGAGTTTAACGTTTCATTCACATCCAAATCAGATCTAAATTTACGCGAAAGGTATTATGTCTTTCCTTTTTTAAGAACCTGGGAATTCTGCAGGGGATATCTATGATGCATATGGATATACATGCAGGGTTAGTAGGGTGTAAAGATCCCGATGTGTGGGTATTGGTGAGGTAGTGTGGTGATCTGATTTCTTTATTGGGGAATGGGGGAATGGGGGAAGCTAATTTGTTGAAGGGGGGTGGTACTTTGAGGTTTCGTGGGTGGTGGATTATAGAATTGGATATGTAAATGGATGTTGCTTTCGTGAGGGAAATACAAAAGATAGGAAAGAAAGGCAGGTATCGATCTATCTATACTTACTCACTAGGTATTTTACGATGTACGTATTCATCTATTGAGTTTTGAAAGGAATCAAATACTAGGTAGGTAGGTAACTGGGTAGGTATGTATCCAAAGATCGAATTCGCCCATCCATCTATCTTCCTTCTAGATCATCCATTTCCCCATACCAACCAACTATCTACCCTCCCCACACAATCAGCACCATCCTATGCCATCCAGGCCATCACCACATCACATGCTACCCTACCAGTTATTCATTACCTTAACCTTACCTTAGCTAGCACCTACTAGGTGGTATTCCTCTATCTCGGGGTACTCCAGACGAGCATCCCCATCGCCATCCCATCGCATCTCAGACCACTCAACATTACCATTCTCGTAAATCTCCAGCTCGGATATCCAATATCCAACATCTGTCTCTCCAAAGTCACACCCTACTTCGAAGGATTCCCATCCACTACTCAATAAAAAAATCCCTCTCCCCCCTTAAGAAACAATACCACCGTAGCACACATCTCTCGCACCAAATATAATTCTAAACTCTAAAATTCCAATACCAGACCACACTATACCATACCACGACACGACACGACATGATAGAAATCAAGCTTAAATCTTTATATCTTAAATTGCCGTGCCCAAAAGGTGCATGCATATACGACATTTCAGTAGCGAGGCGGTATTACCGTAAAGAGGAAGAGGAAGAGGCGTAAATTATCGGCACATGTTTTTGTTTCGGAGCGGGATGCATCTATAGATGTGGCGTTTATATATGAACTGTGAACGCGGTGGGAACGGGAGGGAATCCATGTATGAGTGTGGCACAGTGGCACAGTGGAGGGAAGAAAAAGAAGAATGAAAGAGGAATAGATTGTATGTTACTTGCGAGGGGAGAGTTTCGTGTACTGGATTAATCTTTTTTCTTTGTGAATCATGGACACGTACATATGCATTCTCTTGATCTTATTTACTACTAATCCTCGTTTATGCGGAAATCTCTAAGAAAGTTTGAGACATACCTAGAAAATCATATCTGATACAGATTACTACCTAGTTGTCACAGAGTCCATATTACCCCCCCCCCCCCCCCCCCTTCTCCTCTCAATCTATCTTTCCACTGCTATATCATACAAGTTCATACTAACCACCAGTTACACCACCGAATTAAAATATATAAATCCAATTAATCCCCTCTTTTAACTTAGATTTTAAATATTGAAAGATATCATCTCATCTAAATCGCTTCTCGCATATATTCATATATACCATTTTGCATTAGTAGTTTTTCGGGGCGTTGATTGTATGAATCAGTACAAGTTAAGCTTTTTCTAGGTAGATGAACTTTGGTTCATTTGTGATTTTTGGAAGGATATGTTATGATATAATGAATGGATGATGGGTGGATGGATCGTCGTTGTGGTAGTGGTAGTAGTACATTGTCTATCACCAACCAATATTGCATCTCCACCACCACCACCACCTCTACCACTCAACAAATGATGAATCTCTCTTCCCGCCATCATGAATACCATCACTACTAATCTCGCACCTCGATGCTCACATCTCGCACAACTCAATCTACTCACAACCACCTAATAAGTAGATATATATCAAACACTCACTCGATAAACTATGTACCTCTATCCTCCGTACCAAAAGCAAAAAATGAAGGAATTCAACTAACCCCATGAGATTCTATGTAGTACAGACTAACATTGAAATCTCAATACAAACTGGAGATACGCATTCCTGATAAGTAACAAGCTGCTGTGATTTTGAATCTTATAGATAATGTATTGTATGAATGGATATTGAAATCCAGAAAACAGATATACTTAGTACTGCTCCGAACTGCAGCGAAGTAAACCGAAGCGAAGAAAAAGCAAAGCTAGGAAAGTAACTCTGTCTCTCCTAGAAATCCTATGCAAAAACAAACACAAGCACAAATTCGACTCTCGAGCTCCCAGTTCCAGAATCCAGAACCTAAACCCATCAATCCACAAACCTACCTCCCCACCTACCCACCTGCTTCCAATATCCCCTAAGAAAAACTTAACCTCAACCAAAAAT